TCTTTCCATCGCCCTCTCCATGACAGACAGTTGCTGCTCCTCTGTCAGCACCCATGTTTCATTACCGTACAACAGTGCAGTACAGTAATTACTCGCTTAACGTTGTAGTTATGTTCCTGAAAAATATGACTTTAAGCGAAACATTGTTAAGCAAAACCAATTTCCCCATAAGAATTAATATAAATGGGTGGGGTTAGGTTCCAGGGAAATTTTTTTCACCAGACAAAAAACTATATACACACACACACAACACATTTTAAACAAACTCTTTAATACTGTACACAGCGATGATGATTGTGAAGCTTGGTTGAGGGGGGTGGAAGAAAATGAGATATTTCCCCAGGGAATGCCTTACTGCTAAATGATGAACTAGCTTTTGGCCGAGCCTTCAAGGGTTAAAATGTTATTAATGTAGCCTCACACTCTACAAGGCAGGACCAATGGGGGGAGACAGCATGGAAAACAGAGACACACACCGTGTGTGTGGGAGAGAGAGAGAGAGAGAGAGATGCACATTGCCCCTTTAAGTATGCTGACCCCACTCATAAGTACATTGTCTTTTTAAGTCTATTGGGAGTTGAGACAGCAGCTGCTGCCCCAAGCTCTCTCTGTCTCTCTCCATCAGTGTCCCCACCCTGCTCTATATGGAGAAGGAGTAAGCGGGGTGCAGGAGCAGGGGAGAGGGGGAAACCCTGACATTAGCCCCCCCCTTGCACAGCAAGCAGGAGGCTCCCAAGAGCAGCTCCAAGGCAGAGAGGGCAGGAGCAGCACATGGCAGTGGGCAGAGGAACATCTGAACTGCCCGCAATTGATAGCCTACTGCGCAGCTGCTGCACAGGGAACTTAGGAGAGCTGAAAGGGGGAGCTGCTGGTCCACCCAGATTCTAAGCCCTCAACAGCTAGCTGCAACAGGCTGCTCTTCCTGCAAGCAGTGGACAAAGCAGGCGGCTGCCAAACGACATTATAAGGTGTCATAAGTTTCATCCCCACTCTGGACTTTAGAGTACAGATATGGGGGCCTGCATGTGAACCTCTAACCTGAATTACCAGCTTAGATCTGGTTTTGCTGCCACCACTCCCAAGTGCTAACTCCCTTCCTGGGTACCCTGGAGAGACTTCTTCACCAATTCCCTGGTGAACACCGATCCAAACTCTTGGATCTTAAAACAAGGAGAAATTAACCATTCCCCCTCCTTTCCCCCCACCAATTCCTGGTGAGTCCAGATCCAACCCCCTTGGATCTTAAAACAAGGAAAATCAAGCAGGTTCTTAAAAATAAGGCTTTAAATTAAAGAAAAGAAAGGTAAAAGAAAACCCTCTGGGAGAGATTAGCATACCAGCTACTCTCACAGACAACAGATTCAAAACACAGAGGATGTTCCCCTGGGCAAAAACTTAGTTACACAAAAAATACCCAATTTGATTATTCCCTAATGGCCAAGACAAGTTACAAAGAAAATAAACATAAACCTATTTATTTCTTTCACTAATACTCACTACTTGATAAGAGGCTGAATTCTGGAGCTTGCCCACTCCGTTCAAAACTTAAACTGAAACTAAACAAAGGAAACTTTCCTCCTTCCTTTTGAAACATCTTATCCCCACATTGGTTCCTCTGGGCAGGTGTCAACTAGGCTAGGTGAACTTCTTAACCCTTTACAGGTAAAAGAGGCATTAACCCTTAACTATCTGTTATGACATAAGGCAGCATTGCACAACTTTAAACAAGCGTGTTCTGTACTTGATCAGCAACGTAACAATGAAACACTGTTAACAGGGATGACTTTAAGTGAGGAGTTACTGTACTGTTTAGTTGAAGAGGCTGGCACGTGTTGCCTTGTTGATTTTTCCTTAGAGGACATCCTTGATAGAACTGAATGCACACAGATGTGCGTTCTTTCTTCGTGAGAGTTCAGCTTCCTGATCGTGGCGCATGTTAATTCCTTGGCCCAAATAGACATATTGCTCAACTTCTTCTATTTGTTCTCCCTTCATTGTTATTTGGGCTTTTGACAAGGTATCAGATCGTATAAATTTTGTTTTGGAGCGGTTAATTTTCAGTCCGACTTGGGTGCTTTTTGTGTTGAGTTCTCGCAGCATTTTCTGTAGTTTGATAGTATTTTTGGCAATCAACACAATATAGCCCACGAATCCAAGATAGTAAAACTGCTCTCTGTTGATGTTGATTCCACCCTTCCAATTCATCTGCCTCATTACCATTTCGAGGCAGGCTGTGAAGAGTTTCAGTGAAACCATGTCGCCTTGTTTCACACCGTTCTTAACTGGGATGGGGAGTATCAAATAAGGTTGTATCAGTTGTGCCGTCAATTTACTTCCTTTAATAGTTTGATATAGTTTGTGTCGATGCCCTGCTCTGCAAGAGCATTCAACACTGTATTGATCTCTATGCTGTCCAACGCTTTTTTGTAGTCAACAAAGGCAATACATAAAGGGAATATAGTGAAAATAGGGTCCATGTGCTGAAATTCCTCTGAAAACCTGCCTGTTCTACGGGCTGTTGCTCGTCCAGACTCTGTGAGAGTCGGTTTGTTATTATTTTGGTGAACAGCTTGTAGACATGTGAGAGCAGGCATATTGGACAAAAGTTCTTTACATCTTCACGATCACTTCTTGTACAGCAGAATGGTGTTGGACTCCTTCCAGTTAGATGGTATCTTCTGCCTTTCCAAATAACGGCTAAAGCTCTGAGCAAGGGTTTCCCAGAGGTCTTGGCCTCCGGCTCTTATCATTTTGACTTCTCAGTCCATCTTTACCTCAGGCTATTAATAGAATGTACTGTAAATATAACAAAGTTTAATGGACAAAGGATGACATACAAGTGGATGATTAAGTCCACAGTAGAATGTCTACACGCCTAGCTGCATTTCAGTAAAAATGGGAATTTCACCTTGTTCATCATAATGCACTTGAGTTTGGGATAAATCATTCCAAATAAACTCTACATTAAAAAAAATGTATTCATCACTTCAAAAGGCCTTAGTGGGCTCAATCTAGCAGCCCACCGCAGTGCAGTGGAACATATAAAGGGTCACATCAGCCGAATCAATTAAAATCAATAATTGTCCAACTGAGTAGAAATGACTTTTCCCAAAGCAGTGCTGATCATGTTTCCCTATCCAGGCCATGTATTAGAAAAATCAGATCGGCTATGACACTAATATTAACACTGTAAGACTGTAACTTGCATAATATATATAGATGATTTCATTTTTTTCTTCGTATCTTCTACTTTTTACAGTCTCTCTTCTTCAGTTGTTACTGATCTGAGTTGGAAAA